CAATTACTGTCTTTATAATTAAAGTAGATGATAACGATTGTGTTGCTATTCGATTGTTTCATTTATAACTATTTCGTCGTAACGTTAATCCTTTAGGTAAAAAAGAAAGACGAAAATTATGGTGATAGCGATAACCATTTTGGAGATCATATCAAGTATGCAAACTTGGTTGATACATGGTATTGGAAGTTGTGTATCATGGTAGTACCATGATACTGATTTGTTTAATTATTGAAGATGATGATAATTAAAAAAAGATGTAATTATTGAAGATGATAATAATAAAATAAAATAAAATAAAATAAAGGCATGCACATGAGAGTGGTCATTGGGCACTCATGGTGGCATGATGTCAAAACCACAAACATGCTGATTCCACCATCCTACAATGCCACATCTACCTAATTCTATACTTTTATCTCATTGGTGGATCCAATTATTAAATACCTTAAGACATGTTATATGTGTAAATCTTATAAATAATTGTTCAAAATTCTAAAAAGCAGCTTTATGTGTTGTTTATACAAGTGATATGTCAATTAACATTTTGTATGTTAGAAAAATACAAAAATATGTTTATTTGTTAACCAGACAGTCATATTCGTACATAAAAACAAAACATGTGAAACAATATGAATGAAGTTGGTTGGTTTTCATGGGTTATATTTTCACATGTGATTCTCATCTATGAAGCAGTATATGAAACATGTTTCATGGTTTGCAGTATATATAGGGATATGTTGAGTTAGAAACTTCATTTTTATTGTGAATCTGGGAACCACTAAAAGCGCATTACATATTCATGTTCATGATGAAACGTACAAATGGTGGGGGGATGAGCCTCCATTGAAAAAAAGAATTCTTAATCACTTAGGTTAAAAACATTTTTTTTCTTTAACTTTCTACCAATCATGTTAGTAATTTCCGCCCTGTGTCCCCACCAACCAAAAAAATTACCTTGAAATCAACAAAAAACCAAAAGAGTATCTCAAAATCAACAACAAAAACAAAAAACAAAAACAAAAAATGTCCTTTGAAATCAACAAAAAAAAACTTAAAAATCTCTCGAAATCAACCAAAAAACTTTAAAAATCCATTGAAACAATGGAATTAAGCTAAGAACACTACGGCAACTTTGCGGGCCTTTAATCTGCCTTAAGCAAAAATCATAGAATTGGGTAGTCTAACAAGTTATATTATTATGAAATAAATTAATAAAATTTCTATTAGATTACATTATAAACACGATTTAAAAAGTAAATCGAGCTATTAGTATTTTTAAGGGATACATCTTCAAATGTATGATATGACATCCTAAAAATAATTTTGTGTTGTAATAATTTATGATTTTATACTTAAAATTTGTAGAACACGTTTATTAATTACAAAAACGAGGAGTGTGACTGCATATGCTAGCTAGTTCTCTTGACTCCATCTTAGGTAGGCTTAGGGGTGTAAGCAAATTGAACTTTTAACGAGTTATTCGAGCTTGATTATAATAAATTTGAAGCTCAAATCGATATCAAGCACAAAAGAAAACTCGTTTTAAACTTAACAAGTTCATAACACCAATTAATGTAAGTCTCTGCTCATTCGACATCGCAATTAACATTTTTGGTTGAGATGAACCGATCCATTTAAGAAAAACTTTTTCGATGCAAACATGCTCATATGTCCGTAAATCATACGATAAAATCCACCCAACCCAACAAGCACAATTATTAGAAAACGGTTTTGAGTTTGAGGAGAAACCCAGTGGGGTTGACCCTCACCCAGGCCAAGAAGCCCAGAGCCAGGCCCACGACCTATATTTTAAGATTTTTACACTCATCATCCAATTCCAAGGCAAACACCACCTTCGATTCGATGCAAACCTCCATATCTCTTGAATCCAAATTTGAACACATTCTTGTTGACAAGCTTTATATATAAACCATCGTTTTACATAAACTTCAATTTTATAAATCATACATCCATTTATTATCATCGTCGTATCAATGGTTATATATAATAATAATAATAATAATAATAATAATAATACTCATTTTAAAAAATAACTTTAAAATATAATTTTTATTTCACCAAAAAATATGAATAATAAACTTATCAATTTTCTCAAAAGACAAATGAATTATAAGTTACTTGCATTTGTTTGATTCTTAAGGAATAATTGAATAGTTGTCATTTATTTACATAACTTTTCATTAATAAATGGTTTTTGTCTAATTTATTTTTTAGTTATATAAAAAATACATAAAAGTCTTAATCATTTACTACAAATCTTGTTTTTAAAGATTTTTTTTTTTATTATTTTAATGTTTTCTTTTGTCTTAGGTTTTATTTTTATATTCTCCACTTACTCTTTTGTTCTTGTTGTTTTGTTCATTGTACTTAACATGTTTCTGGATGGATTTTGATATTTAATTTTAATTTAAACATGTGTGATTTTATTATATTCTAAAATTCATTTTTATGAGATAACTTTATAATTTGTTTTTGTAAATTACCTATAAAAATAAAATTCAATTCCACAAAATCTAAATCAGTAAAAATAACATTTCATCAAACCAAACGTCCCCAAAGAAGCTTATAAACTTGTGTGCCATCAAAGTAATTGGTATCAGTTAGTAACTGATATCGATATTGTATCAATATAAATATTTTCATTTTTCTTTAACAAAAAGGGAAAAGCGTAATTCACGTGTTTGCATTTTTTATTCGACAAAATGCGAGAGAACTAGAGTTCGGAAATATCATAACTAATGTTAAAAGAAGAGAAAACTCGAAAATGTTTTTAACGTTTGTTGTATTATTATTTGGGATTATCTGACGTAGTTTGCAAACAATTTTTATTTTCGAATCTTTCCATGGTTTGTCATCTTCAAAAGAGAAGTATTGTTAGTGGAATTTATGAAGAACTTTTTATTAAAATACATACTTCCACAATTAATATTATTTTGATGATAACAAACCGAACCTGATAATGATATTATATTACGGACTAATATTTTCTTGATGTGTACAAGAATATACTGTTACGGTGATCCCCTGCATATGTCAAACATATTACATTTAAATCAAAAGGTAATGAATTGCTCGTATGCCGCTTAACGGTTGTGTTTGTAACCATGCCTTGCAAAAAAAATTCAAAGATTATATATCTATTGAGAAACATATCATGATTAATTCAAAATCAAATCAAATTCTAATTAACATGTCACACCTATTATTGTAGCATATCTGCGACAAGAATTGGGAATCGTATGAATTTTTATAAATAGGAATTTACAGAAAATGATTCAAAGTTAAACAATCGAAGTATTTGACAATATGATTAATTTTACCATTTTGTTTAAAAAATTTCAAATATGACTATGAAGTTGTTTATCATCTGTTAGACACTTGACCTAGAATGTATTTTATTTTCAGGTTTTGAGTATGAAACTTTGTGTTAATGTCATGACTTTTATGTTTAGAGATTCATAAAATAGTGGATCTCAATGTCTACAATGCTTCTGACATTATTATTATTTTTGTCTGTAAATTTGATCATTTAGCCATCTGTTAAGAACTATTGGCCATCATTTGAAAAGACCAGCGAGAATATTTCTATCACAATTATTTGATTACATCCATCATCTTTTAATAGAAATTTTTCAAACACAGTACTCAGCTAATTAAATTATATTCTTGATGATTCTTAACATTTGTGAGTGATTTATTTGAATGTGTGTAAAGATCCATACAGAGTTCTTCCCAAAGGGAAGATCGTGTATCATTGATTGTACAAACAATTTTGTTCTACCACTACATTTAAACAACACACAGTTAATTTTAATACATGTAGATTCGGAAAAAGTGAAATTATCCAATAGTTTTTTTGGAAGTATATAATATTTATATACAACAAATGCAACAAATAGATTCACATACCCTTATCAAATTTTGTGAGGTTTAAACCACCGACCTCCTAGGAGACCAAATACTCTGATACCACTACAACAAAGACGTTTTAATAAATTACCCAATATTGGGTGGATCACTCCACATCTCCATATCGCATCTCTAATTCATACTCTATTTATTTCTGCATTATTTTGTTCTATTTAATGCTTTGTTGAAAAACCAAATATATTGTATCAAACAACATTCTTCATAAGGTTGCACTAACAATTAACATGGCTCTGCTGTTATTATATATTTATGATAATAATAATTAGTTTTTTAATATTTTTATTTTAAGTTGGATTATAACAAAACCATATAATAAATAATTTTGAATCAAAATACATTAAATATTTAAATTAGTTTACCTAACACTTCAATTTGGACCTAAATGACATGAAAAGTCAACATCAAGGACTAGATATGACATTTCATGAAAGATGGAAGGCCACAAACGGGCCAATCATTAACCAAACTCAATTGCTTCAAGAGATTCTCTAAAATGGAAGAATGAAATTTCAAAATCTCTAAAGCAAAAATATATTCAACTCCAGCAGATTCTTTCTTTTGAAGAATACGACATTGATTATATTATTAAAGTATTACATTCATCTAATAAAATATTGTTTTTTTCCTCTAAATATTTAATTTCAAAGTTACTTATTGGTGGGAAGGCGAAGGATCGTGTGAGAAAAATAGTTAAAGTGAGAAGCGTGAGAAGGGATCTCGACCTTTAATCATCTTTAATCTCAAACCTACACATAAATTGCGCTTGATACGAATATTAATCCGTGCATCTCGATACATCTCATCCTAATGTGCATCCAAGGGTGAAGATCTCTTCTTACGCTTCTCATTTTAACTCCCATTTTCACCAAAACCCGACCTTTGATGGGAATATATTAAAAAATATTTTCCTCTTTGTTTTCCACGATAAAATTGCGAATGTCACTATTCGCAAATATAAACATATAGACACAAAATATAGGAACAAAGTTAAGAACAAACGAATCATGCAAATGAATTATGTAAAGAATTTTGTGACCGAAAGAATGTCATCGGTGAAAGAGTTTTAAAACAAATTAGATCCAAAACCACCATCGTTGATAAGAGTCATATTACATATATAATCTATGCAGCTTTTACGTTTTCCGCCAACGTAATTTAATAAAAATAATTACTTATTCCATCCCATCATAACCGACATGGCCTTAACACAGCTTTTTCACAAATAATCTCTCATTGGTAATGTCCGTTTTATCTCTGACTGATGGGTAGAGCAGCTTTTTTTGTTGCACATGTTACGAATTCTCGTAAAGTTAATAATAACACATGTCGGTTCTGTTGATATTCGTAGATTTCACGAACAAAACCGTTGCAATTGAACGATTATCACACTTGCGTCATCGTTAGATCCTCGAGAAGCCGAAAGTTCGATGAGCTTCTTGCAAGCCAAAAGGGGTTCTAATTTGTCGTTGCCCACACAGAAAGGTCGAGCTAAATCGATCGCTTCCTGATTGCCGACTTTATCCCATAAACCATCGGAAGCCATGATCATGAACTCGAATTCCGGCACGATTTTAAGGATTTTCGTTTCGGGTTCCGACGTTATCCATTGCTTTAGGGTTCGATCGCCAATCCCTCTCGAAACCGCTAGTGATCCAAGAACTCTCGGAACACCATGGCTACAATAAACATACCCACCCTGCCAATCAAACCGAAAAGTTTCAGAAATCAGTAATCAGTAAAGCAAATGAACCACATTGTGATTTGAATTCGAGTTGTTGATCAAGATGGTTACCAGAGATTCGATTCGGAGTTTTTCTTCTGGTCTCGAGGGGCGGTGATCGGTGGTGAGAGACATAGCAACGCCACCGCTGCTGACAACCGCACGGCAGTCGCCGGCGTTTGATACAACGAGGTTGCTATCTCTGATAATGGCGGTCAAACAGCAAGAACCACCGCGGTGATCTTGATCTAGAAATTCTGAATCTGTGTTCATATAACCTTGTTTGATTGCTTCAATGATTTCGATTTCACCCCTTTTTTCCACTTCGTTTAGAATGTTTTTATCGAGATTTTCAGCTGCAAATTCAGCGGCTTTCCATCCGCCATGCCCATCAAAAACACCGAAAAATGCCTGAAGAAAATTATCAAAAAATTAAATCTTGATTTGAAGTTACGAATCAAGAAATCAAGAAATCGCCGGGAAAAAAGCACTAGAAATTTACCTGTTTATGTTGTCCATTAAATTCGACTACAGCTTTGAATCGATCTTCCATGGCGTCTCTTTTCCCTCTCTTACAATAAACCGAATACCCATCTCCGTCAACCTCCACCTCCTTCCACCGATCCTCCACCGTCGTCGCTGGCGGCGTACCCCTGCCGGAAAAGCTAAAAGGCGCAACCGGAATAGCTAACTTAGTGGGTCTTTTTCGTTTCGAAAGCGTAGGAGAAGTAGAGGGTCCTCCGTCGTTGGAATCCCTAACGAGCCCACTCGCCGGCGGGAGAGGCTTCTGAAGACGAAACTTGAACGCCGGCGACGGTGATGAGAAAGAAGAAGATGGAGAATGGGTCAAAACTAAAGATTCCGGCGATGATTTACAGTAAATTGAAGAAGTAACTCTGGACGATGGGGAAAATACCGGCGAGTTTGGGATTGCAACGGTAATCATTTCGATGGGTAACGTTCGGATTTTATCAAGAAATTATGGGTTTTGATGAATCGGGGGTGGAAATTTATAGGGTGGGTTTTGGGGTTGAATCGGTGGTCAAAGTGGGGCCGCCGGACCTCCGTGTTAACGGTGTGTTCGGATTCACTTCGAGCCGCAGTTTCCTTTTCTATTTCCATATCTATTTCATGATTTAATTGTAATAAATTATATAGATTAAAAAATATATCTTTCAAGATTATATTCTAAATATAAATATATTTTTTCCAATTAAATCGATTTCGTATCTTCCAAAAAGGAAAAATATATAAATAAAATCTAATTCAAATCGAAAAAGATGAAACGATAAATTAATTATTTTATTTTTAATTCTTTGAGTAATTATAATTTTTGTCCGTGTTGTTTTATGTCGATTATGAAAGATTCTTGAACCCTTAGGGGGCGGTTGGTTTGTAGAATGAAATTCAATCGAATTGAAATTCATCAAATGAATTTGACTTTGAGGAAATGAAATGGAATCTGATGAAATTTGACCATACCTTGCGATTGCGTTTGGTTGGATGGAATTGGAATGAAATTCTTAACCGAATTGAATTTTTTTTTTGTTTCGTTCACGGAATTCAACGAGAAAATAACAGGCAAAAAAAATTGAAACCGAAACTTTCGGGCTGGGTTCGGGGACATCTTATCGGGGATGGGGTGGGGATCGGGTGGGCCTGATATGTGTATGTATATTAATTTTAATTTATATATATATATATATATATATATATATATAGGGTTGGGTTCACGTGAGACCAGACTGTTTTCGTGAGACCACATTTTTACACTTGAAACTTTACAGCAAAAACACTGTGAAGGTTTAAAAAAGTCGAACCTTCACAACAAAAACACTATGAATGTTACCTTTACAGCATTTTGCTGTGAAGTTTCAAGTGTAAAAAGCTGGTCTCACGGGTCTCACGAAAACATGTTGATCTCACGTGATCCCAAGTCTATATATATAATATTAAATTTGGGGATTTTTAGATTTGTTTTGGGTTTCGATTTCGGGTTCGGTTACAACCAACGGTGAACGGGAAAAAGATGATTTTTACCTTAACGAGTTCTCCAACGGGGATCGGGGAAACTGCGGGACCTGATAAGATCCCCGACGGGGATCAGGGTGGTCATGAGGACGGTTTTAGTTATCGGTTTTTGGGACGGGGATACCAATAACCGGCCTAAACCTGGCCCGTTGTCATTCTTAGTTTTAAACGAGATCGAGCATAGCAGAACAGAGCAAATCGAGATACGGCGTCGATGAATGGATGAGGGCTAAGGAATTTGTCGGATTGGAATTTAAAATCCGTGGGATATGTGATGGAATTGTGAAATCAATGAATTAAGGAATTGGTTGGAATTGGAAGGATTCTTTCACATCTATTATGTGAACCAAACATGAGGTTTGGAATTTGGTCAAATATTTGGACATTTCAATTTCTTCTAATTCCACCAAATTCCATGAACCAAACACCCCCTTAAATTCATTGTTAAAGCTAAGATATTCCGGATTTCATTTTCGTTATGGATCAGTCTTCGTCCTACCATTCGTTAAAAAACTCTATTAAAGGAAGATCATTTTGGTTTTTATTAAAAATAATTAACTTTATCTAATATTATACACATTTATGTAACCCTTCCCTTGATTTTTTTGGTAAACCGGCTCCCAACTCCTTTTTCGGACGGGCCTCCCTCCCTACCCTTCCTCTTCCTTTCTCGGTAAAGTACCCCAGCAACACCACCTCCCTTCGCTTCACCCTATATCAACATAACTACCACAATGGGGAACAATAATGACATGCTCGTGGTTTCGGTTTGGGTTTTACGTTGACTAACCATTTGTGCTGACTCATTAAACGTTGTATTTGATTTTGAGTTTGAAGGGTATGGGAATGGCCAGATCTGGAATAGCTTCACCATCATTACCCGCAATCGATGAGTTTTTGATCTCGTTATCTTACACAATTTTTTTTAAAATTGCCCTTATTTAACAAAGAAAACTTAACAGATTTGGCACAAAGGACTTGGTACATAACGAAAATGAAACCACGAGTGCCCTAATCATGAATTTTAGAGTTCAGGGACCTTCTTTGTAACCAAGATAAAATCACATGGATGAAATTTGTAACTTACTCTAACTTTTTAGTTAAATCATTTATGGTTATAATATTTGCAAAAATATAATTGTATAGTTATTACATGTGACGAAACCAATGTTTATGATCGTTCATTTAACTAAACGAAAAAAAATGTGTTCATGTTCATTTATTTATTAAGTGAACGAACATATATGAATACGGTTCGTTGAACGTTTCGTTCGTTTATAAACCTAATAGCTATATGACCCTTTTAGTTTTCAAAAGGATCACATCGTTTTCTTTATATACTTATCAACTTTTTTCATCAATGTGGGATGTCCGAAAACCAACCATAATGCAAGATTTTAAAATAATTAATTCTTAAATATCTTTTTACAAAGTTTACTTTTATTATCATTTATATTGATTTCATAACATTTCTCTTATATTGACACTAATGATAAAAATAGTTTTACTCCAAAATAACTATTTCGTTTATATTGACATAACTCTATAAAAACATCTCTTTCTTCATTCTTATACCGATTTTTTTCCCACTATATCATGTTCTTCCCTAAGATAACTAAAAAAACACTACTACTCAAAATTTTGAGAATATTCAAATCAGCTCTCATGTTTGTTCCTTTATAATAAATGTAACTTTTATTGCAACAATTAGAGGCCAAACAATGGCTTACATAGCTATCTTACTCTTTCACTCGAAAACATCACATGCTTCTTCTAATATATATTTATTACACTCTAACAATGTATTAGTTTCTCAATAATGCAGGATTTTCAAGAACCAATCACACTGCAATATTTTGAAATACATCCTCTCAAGATGCCATGTCAGTATTTTAAAATTTTATTTTATATAAATCATTTATTATATATATATATATATATTTAAATGATCCGCTATTTAATAAGATTTATTTTGTGTGTGTAAAAAACGGGTTATTCAAAGTAACACAACCCTATGTGTTGCTAGAAATTCATTCCTACTCTATTGTCATAATGACAAGTCAGTTTTTAAAATTCTTTTTGCAAATGAAAAAGTCGATTCATTTGAACCAACAACATAACTTGCAATAAGTTATCGCCTCCTCCTTTCCTATATATACTCACACTTCTTTCTTTCAATTTTCTTTCTTCCCATCAACGTAGGGATAAATAAACTTAATCATATTTGAGGAATATTCAAATCTCATCATTTCAAATCATTTTCTTTGAGTGTTTTAATATATATATATATATATATATATATATATATTGATTTGATGAAAAACATAAAATTCTTTATTTACAAAAATAAGAAAATAAATTGAAAAGTAAAATGATTTACATTTTTTACTCCTTATCTTTCTTTTTTTTCGAAAGTTGATTTTTGTAAGATTTAGTCCCCAAATCTTTAAAACTGCCGAACTCGTGCGACATGGTTCTCTCAAGCACCCTAACATACTCTACTTGTTCACCTGTATCGGTATTGGATACAACCAGTTCACCATTACAATCCAAAGTGAGGATGGGTTTTTGGAGTTCGCTCATCCTCGCGGGATCGAGACCCTTTGTCCGGCCATTGTAGCACGTGTGCTGTCCAGAGCATAAGAGGCATGATGGCTTGATGTCATCCTCACCTTCCTTCGGCTATCTTGTTCCATTATTTGTTAAAAATAAGGGTTGATTTAGTTTTTTTTAAATCCCCCACCCTTAATTTTTAACGAATCTTGTTCAACATTTAATTTGAAAAAAAATCCAATCCCTTTAACCAAATTTTGCTGAAAAATAATAATGAAGAGAAAACAAAACAATGACCAACCGATTAATTGGGAATGACATGTAATTGATTTCATTTAGTTGGTTTTCTAGCATTAAGGGTTCCAACTAAAAATGGATAGATTAGTGTTGCAACCTGGGTTGTTAACTAGGTTTTTTTGGCTTGTTGCAGTCCATTTTCTGTTACTCGTTTAGTTTTGGCTTTTATTAATTGTCATGATCCGTTTATTTTGTTCTGCTTTTTACAATAACAGTTGCCAATCAGTGTATTTTTAATATATTTATTGTCTTCCAAATTTTTTTTTTTCCAAACAACTAGGGTTTATCTTTTGCCATTTTTTAAAAATTATTTCATAATTAAACATGTTTTTTGAAATGACCAAAAATACAAATAATTGATTTAAATAATAATAATAATAATAATAATAATAATTGGTGTTGGTACACGGGTGAATGGTGATAGATAGTAAGTGGTCAAACACGTTATGGGTGTAAAGTGGGCTTGCAGTCATTTGAATATTATTTGTTTGCGTGTGTTTACAAGTAGCATGGACCTTACAACTTCACATACTTCTTCTTCTATCAAATCACAAACGTCCATAAAAAAATAAAAAAATAAAAAATAAAAAGGAAAATTTTTTATATCGAAAATTCATTTTTTAGCTAATTTTTTAACCAATTCTTAAATTAGCTATTGCTTATGCAAATGGTTACGATTTCCGTTGATTAAAAAAGAAAATTGATGAGAAATAACCATAAAATCACAATATTACATTTATATAGAATGATCCGTCAAAGAAATCTGTCATCGACGATTGTCTCACTAATGTCGGAAGCAGGACCCACTTTATTAAAAAAGATTTGAAGAAATTCTTACAAATTGTCCATTTATGAGGTTTTTGTTGATTCCTTGACATCGTTAACCAATGACAAAGTGACACGTGTTATTTCGCTAATGGTTAATTCATTTGGTAAATTGGATGGTCATTTCGTGCAAATATATAAAAATCTCGTCATTTTCTCACTCGCTTTATGTATATCGGTCATTTTCGAGATTACCACAAAACAAAAACAAAATTTGTTTTATTTTTATTTTGGGAATAT